GGCCTTTGCATAAGATCGATTGGAGACCCATTAAAGCGATTCTAGACCTGTTCAGGTCTGTTTATAAGGTGAGCGGCCCACTGAGAGGGGGAGCACCTGGGTGATAATTGGAGTTGACGTATGGACTTTGTACAAAGAACTTTCACAGTGGAAGGATAAAGAGTGTGGTGCACTTGGGACAAATCCGGAACACTATATACGTGTGATTCCGCATTTGTGTATATTTGAACATGGAATATATGATTGAACTTTCCATAGGACTGTTATTTATAAGAAGATTCATTGTGAACACTTTTTTGATTGCATGTGTTATTTAAGCACATATTTATTATAGAGATTTGTTTATGTATTGTTCTAGAAGAAGCGCAGCACATTCATTATAATTTGATATATTCAGAGGGTAACACTTCTTATAGTGCTTGCATTTACACAGGGTTTGGCGCGAGGTGCTATTTATCACTTTCATTCTTTAAAGTGCCTACCACTGAGTAATGTTAGGAAACCGAGAGGCAGAAGTTTCCCTATCGATTGATAGTCAAATGTCTATGTGGCAGCACCTGACAGCCCCTGAACAAGCGGACTCCAGAAATAACATGATAGCCGTATTGTTCACCCCTCCTTCCACCACTGCAGAAGTACTAGAAATGCACTTGTGTGACTAAAGTGCTCCTGTTTAAGGAACAAATTGGTCAAAAAGTTATTGTGCAACTGTCACATCGGACATCCATGACCAATCAATATCTAATATTTATAAGTCAGCTTTAAACACACATTAATGCAGCTCTAAATTCCTAAAGCAGTCTGCATTTATGTGTGTGCGTGTGTTCTGTTTGTTTTCTTAATATATGAAACTTGTACAAGTACCTGAATTTGACTTGATTTCAACTTCTAATAATCCTCTGTATACCAGCACTGGAGAAAAGGGCAACACTGAAAGCCAATTAGATGTGCTTCTTGCAAATATGCTGAAAAGCAGCATGCTGACAGGAGGAGAAAGCAGAGGGGTAACCTTGTAAGTGTATTCCTTCACTATCCTATCTACAGGCTGGGTGTAGGGTGTGTATGTGAGAGCAAAAAAAAAAAAAAGAAACCATATTCAGTACATATTCTGCAATGCATGTGCATTTTTGTATGTTGTATCCCTACTGCAAGTACAAAAAATAACTTCTTCTTTGGCTGACAATAAAATCCCAACCAGTGTTGTCGTCAGTCCTGTCTGATGGACTGCAAAACTGTATCCCTGACCCTTCTGTATCCTGCTTTTTATGTATACATTGATTGCCTTTCCAGTAAAACAATGCTACTGTCTTGACTTACAAGACCCTGTCTACACGCTGTGTGTAGAGAGAAAGTCCTCTTGGGAGCAGTAGCACATAGGGGGCTTACATCAAAAGCAACGCCTGCAAGAATTTGAAAAAGATGAAAAAAAGAGGGGGAGATAGAGGATTGGGGGCACGTTAGAGTAATGGCTGCACATGCACTTTAATTATCACAGAGAAAGGTCATCCTTCTGGCTGTATTGTGTAGCACAGACTAGGACTAGATGCAAAGAAGTACAAATTCTTTAGGATGTAAAACAGTACACACATAGGTATTGTAAAGGCTTGGCATAAAACAGAAAACTTCTAGGCCTCTAGTCCACTCGCCAAAGAGGCTTTCTGCCGACTTTTATTCACAAAGAAAAAGGTTTCTGCCAAGCAACACTGCCACATCAGTGATTCATTTTGACAAGTGTGCCCCGATGAGATAGGTGCACCGTGACAGTAAGTAGAACAGCCATTCCGCTGATCACTCTGTTGGACTTGCTCCTATACCTGTACTTGTTTGATAAAAGATTGCCGATACAATTATCAGCAATAAATTTGGCAACCTGAAACAGAACTTATATGGTTAACTTCACCCAGCTCGCTGCTACAGCATCAATTATTTCAGACTGTCACAGACTGTTACACAGGTGTAAAGAAAATAAATGAGCAGACATGCCCTGGGCTCATCTTACCTTTGGCGCAATAAGGGAGCACTTGGCTACAGCCTCATACGCTTCTTTGTATTTCTCCAGTATAAACAGGGCTTTAGACTTGCAGTACAGTGTTCTGAGATTTGTGTCATTTATATACAACGCATCTTCACAATCTCTTAAAGCTTCCTCCTGAAAACCCTGGAAATAACAGGAAATATAAACTTTTAATGTGGTACATTAAAGGGGTTGTGCCAGAAAATATTCCAAAAACAATGAACTGATTGTGAGATCGTCATAAGTAACATAATCACTGCCCAGTCTGGCCACACAGATAGGAAGCCAAGACCATGCTGATCAGCTCCAATGATAGTGACACTAAATTCAGGGGTACAACCTTAAAAACACATTTAAGTACCCTATTAATAAAAAAGGAATCTTATTTGAGTATCACTCGGCTGTAGATCCTCAAATCATCTCTGAATTGGTGCTGACACTGTCCTTCCTTCTGGAGGGTGCCTACTTTTGTTCCCCATGGTCCCTGTGTGTGTGTTGTAAAGTAGCCACCGCTCCAAGCTCACTCCCGTGATGGACTACAATCTCAGTACAAATTAGTAAACTAAACACAAGATTGTAGTCCATCATTGGAGTAAACATATATAAACCTGTTATTACTTATGGTATTAAGGTCTGAACAAGCAATACAGACACAGATTTAAAGTCGACCTTTACCCATATCTTTAAAATAACAACAAACACACCTTTAGAAATAATGACAATCTACAAACACATACTTATAAAAAAAATTGCCGGCTTTGTATTCTTTGCATACCTTATTTCTATTTTCTTTCCCAGTCTACTGACATTGACCATGTTAACTAAGAGATTACTTGCTCCCCATTTACTTCCTAAAACTCTGGCACACGTGACTAGACATGTGTTCATGTATATCATCTCAGGAGAGGAAAATGCCTTTCACTGTGATCTCATGAGATCAGGAGATTTCCCAGCAATGCTTTGCTGATGTAACCTTCCCAGGATGCAATGCCTGGGGCACTTACATCATCGTCATTTCAATGACATGGCAATCCCAGTGTCCATCACTTTGGCAAACTGAAGTTATTTGCCCTTTCAAAGCAGGAAGTGAATGCTCTGCAAGTGTAAGGGTGCCCACACACCTTACGATAATCGTACGATAATAGCGGGAAATCCCGCGATCGTACGATTATCGTAAGGTGTGTGGAAGCCGTGCGACCTCTACTACTGTAAGGTGGCACGACTTTTAACTTACGAACATGTTCGAAAACCCGCCGAGCATCGTACGATGTTTGCGGGTGTGTAGCATGTTTGTACGATAAAAGCCGGACGGGCAGGTTCGGCATTGCGGTCATCGGAAGCCCGCCCCTCAGGGGGGCGCAGCTTGCGATCATCGCAATTACGATCTGCCAGTCCAAGATAGGCAGATCGTACATTTTTTTAATTACCTTACAACCATCGTAAGACAAAAGTCTTGCGATGGTTGTAAGGTGTGTGCCCAGCCTAAGTTTTTCAAAATCACAGCATTGTACACCTGACATGTCTATGTTATTAATCGGCATACATAGAAGGGTGCATTGGTAGAATTTGATTTTTGAGTGTAAAGGTTCGCTTTAAGTCCAAAGAGATTCATTCTGATTGAATCTCTTCCCAATTATTTCCTCCATTTTAGTCTAGTTTTAGTCAATTGATGAAAATGTCAATAGATTTTCGTTATAGTTTTCCATAACGTAGTCACCATAACTTAGTCTTTGTCACAGAAAAAATGTTATTGACTAAAACTATGATGAAAATTATCAGTCGACTAAATTAACACTGTTATGTAGCAACTGAAGGTTATTTTTAGAATCCAGGTTCTGGGTTTTTCCCCATTTATGCAATAAGGCCTTGTTCACACCAAATGCAGAGCAGATCTGCATGAGTTTCTGCACACGCAGTGCAGTGGGTTGTGCCGCGTTTTAATGCGTTCCGGGCTGTTTTTGGTTAAAAAAAAAATATTTTTTTAATTTTAGTTTAACATGGGCTTTCCTGGCGTTTGCATGCATTTTTTACCTGCTCTGGAACTGAACGCTGCGATGTGAACTGGAGCTAAAAATACCATTGGAATAAATTGGACGCAGTTTTGCTCCGGTCTGTAACTGCTCTGCGCTTGGTGTGAACAAGGCTTAAACGAATCATTCCAGCTAAAACACTATTGCTGCATTACCACTCAAATCATTTGATAGTAAAGATGACCTAATAAGCCAATCATGGGCATGACAACCAAATTACATACAGAATGGTATAGGTTACCAGTTGCCCAGTGGTGCATTTTCTTTCTAAATTCTGCCATCTTATAAACAGAAAACTGTGATATGATTAGTGTAACAATATATAAAGTGTATCTAATGCCAAAAAACTCCAAAGATAATGCTGGCAGGTTAATTGGCTTGTCTAAATTGGCCCTAGTATGGGGGTGTAGGTATACGAGATAGGGACCTTAGACTGTAAGCGCTGAGGGATGGGACTGATGTGAATGCAGTATATTAGAAAGCTGCATACGATATATAAATGCCTGTAATAAATTAATGTCACTCAATGGACTCAAAGAAAGGAACTTTATGGCAATTACAAAAATCCTATTTTCTGTATTGTCCACTTGAGGTACACAGCATTACATAATCATGAGACTCCCCCTGGCAGTTCAAAACAGAGGGGTCTTTTGATGAAATGTGGGCTGAAACCCAGGTCACAGCTTCACAAACCTATGATCAAAAGGTACCCATGGCACACCTGACCAGATAGTACCCTCGTGTATCGGGTGGGTGCCAAGCCACCACAGATGCCTCCCCAAATTTGTATAAATATGAAGAAGTCACTCGAACTCCAGCTCAAATTCAGTCAATATTTTATTGAGTTCTGTATTCTCACAACATAGCAACGTTTCGGAAGCTGCCTGGTCCCTTCATCAAGCAAACAAAGAGTGTTTGCCTGATGAAGGGACCAAGCAGGTTCCGAAACGTCGCAATGTTGCGGCACCACAGAAGTCAATTAAATATTGACTGAATTTGAGCTGTGGGTGCGGGTGACTTCATATTTATAGCCTCCCAAACCAGACACAGAACTCCGATGGTGAAAGGTCCAAGACACACCCACTGCTCTGGAAGAGAGGGCACAAACATGTACACCTGAAAAACACTTTAGAGAAACCACCTGGAAATAGTGGAACTGGAAGCTGGTATCCCTTCCTCTGGAACTTCCGGAATGGCAAACAACGAATCATATTTTCTAAACTGAGCTCTAACATGAGAGTTAAATATACACTAAACAGCCTGGACCATGTCCAAACAATGGAGAGCAATCTTCTTTCAATGTTTTCATTCAACTGGAACACAAACACTACCTTGGACAAGAATGAAGGTTGCAGATGACTAGCTGAAGGGTAGGGAGGGAAGATTTATGAGCTCATAGAAGTTGTCCCCCTGTGGTGAAGTGGAAAAACAATTGGTGATCTAGGAAAATAGGTGTCACAAACCAAATGTGGACCATATTCCTCTATGCAACAACTTTCCCCACAAGTGGATTCTAAGAGGTAGCTGAATTTCTGCCAGGGACCCCCTCCTGGGAATTTGGACATAGCTGTTGGCTACCCTGAGATCACTCTACAGTTACTCGTAGACGCAAAGGGCTGGTGCCGGGATACCAGAGCAAGAGAGAGGAATGAGGCACAGGACAGCTGAAGTCAGGGAAAAGGTTGGAGGCTGCAAGTGCTGAGATAGGACAAGAGAGGTTCAGACTGTGGATGCAAATGAGGCTTGGGCTGCAGGTGCTGGTCATATACCGAGTAGAAAGAGGTATTTCTCTTTACTCCAGGTACCCAAAGCAGCACAGGAAGGTAAGGAAAGGTAAATATATGGGGTGGGGAGGAGAAGACATTTAAGTTAAAGTGGCATTAAAGTCACAATCCCTCCCCTATGTTGCTTTAAGGGCCTACCTTAATTGATTCAATCATCTTCTTCCTGCCATTTGTTTTCAGGAGTCCCTCCAGCGCTGGTGCCGGTCTCTGATCCAGCACTGACTGCTGTGTCTTCCGTGTCCTATGGTGTCTGTCCAACGTGCACGCTCCTGGCTGCGTTGAAAGACCTACACTGTGCATCTCCTCTTCTCCCCACCGAAGATCTCCGCTGCGCATGATCCTTCACGGCTGCTCAAGAATCTTCAGAACTGCAGACGGGAGCGAGTGGCGGAGACGCAGGAAAGTAATTATATATTTGGTAACTTTATTTTTGTATGTTTTTGCATATATCTACTGCTTGCTAGCAGTAGATATATGTAAAAACAAAAGTGACTTTAATTCTACTTTAAAGTGTTGCTTTGACCTACATGGATTCACTGTGATGATCTTGTACAATTGAATACAGTACCACAAATCATATGGAAAATGATATGGCAATATATAGAAGCAGTAACTATTGTAAGAGGCATATGGCTCACACTTCTAAAGTATGAAGTCAATGGATGTTGTTAATCTCAGTGAAAACACATGCAGTTCATTAGGTCACATTTTTGTTCAGTTAGCAGTGTGCAGAATGTGACAGTTGTATAACTACTTCATTACCATGGCCAAGTAACATGCAGCACGGTTCACGTGCAACCTCTCCAGTATCTCGCTGGTGATCAAAATCTCCTCAGACGTGGCATAATTAGCAAGGTTAAGTGCTTCAGAGTACTGGTTTATGGAATCATTCTTGAATCCTTCTTTATACAAGTCATTGCCCTCATTGAAAAGGTTTCTTATCAGTTTTTGCACAAAAGTCTGCCAAAAAGGGAAACAAAACACAGAATAAACAACACAAACATAAAAACATTCATGTAATTTCAAAAGGCAATGCTCCATTCACCTCATACTCTTTTTGGGTGCCAAATGACAATGAAGACCTGAAATAAAAAAAAAAAACCAAACACAATAGGAAAGTCAAAGAAAACATTTGTAATTTTATATACTATTTCTGTTAACCTTATTGTAATAAATATGGGCCCATAACCAAATAACCAATATGTGTGTACGGCAATGTCACACCTATATTGTTCACAGATCAAGAAAATGAATTATCAATGTATTATTCTGCCCTTAAAGTGAGTATCTAGATTTGTATTACTAATTTAATTCCAATTTACTTTCATCGAGCTACAAAGAATTATTAGCAAATGTGGATCTGTATAAAACACGTTAGTGGATTTCGGTGTACTGGGGGTTTGCAGTGTTGGTGTATATTTACATATTGCTTGGGTTATTATTGGAGATCCTTGGAGTGCGCTCTGTTTGGACACTAAAGTGCGTTATATGGTGCATATAGCTATCTGTCCCTGTGTTGTGTAAACAATATTCGGAGCAAAACTTACTGAATAAATTCAAGTCCTTTTTTTATGTCTTCCTGCCTGTTGTGTCGATCAGTCAGCTGGTAAGACATCTTGTCGTCTTCATCAGATTTTCACAGTAGATGCAAATCTAGAAAAGTAAGAATTACTAATATAAACGTACCCATTAGCCTAACGTCTGCCACCAGAATAACTTTTGTGTAAAACTTATTTAACCACCTTAGTACAGGAGCAATTTTGTAATTCTTTCTACAATCTGAACTTAAAGGAGAACTATGAGGTGAGTGCTTTTCACTCACCTCATAGTTCTAGCCGACCTGTGACAATGAGACTGTCACAGGTCGGATCAGTAGATCGGGAGGTGAGCGAACACATACCAGGAGGGGGCGGGTATAGCTGGCTCTGCCTCTAGATAGGCAGAGCCAGCTGTCACTCACGCAGCTGGGCGGATCCCGTCGTCTAAGTCGGGATATGCTCCGGCTGCGCCGTCTCAGTATATACTGAGCTTAGGGTAACGGGAGGACGCTAGTTTGTGTCCTCCCGTTACCCTAAGGAGAACTATGGGGAAAAACACTGACCCCATAGTTCTCCTTTAAGGGCTTGTTCACTCTTTTTTGTGCTTTCTGGTGCATTTGGGGGGGTTTCTTTCAGGTGTGGTCCAGTGCGTTCGCATTTATTTTTGATGCGTTTACATGCATTTTGGTGCATTACAGAGCAGAAAAATTAGTGCATGAGGCATTTTTCCCCCCTGCTCCGGAACTGGCTGCACTGGTGTGAACAGAGCCCAGAAATACCATAGGAATACAATGGGACGCTCTGCTATGCCACATGCTCCACACTTGCTGTGAACTAGCCCTAAACCTCCAAACAAGTATACATTTTCTGAAAGCAGGGCCCCTGTAAAATAATAAAATGATAGGTGCATTTTTAAAAAAAATATTGCATGATATTTGGGCAAATGTTTAAGCAATGTTTTGAGGAAACAAAAAACACTAACCGAGTTATTTACAAAAGGGTGACGAGTTTGCAGAATGCAGGAGAAGTGAACAATCTAGGACAACATACCTGAACTGGAAAGTGAGCTGAATGGGAGAATTTTTCCAAATCAGCTATGTTGTCCTAGATTGTTCACTTATCCTGCCTTCTCCAAACTCTTCACCCTTTTGTAATTAACTCTGTAAAATTAGTTTTAGTGCACACAAAATACAATTTACCACTCAATTTTTGGTAAAATATAAAAGATGGGCTCACATTGAGTAAATGGATACCAAACTTGTCAAGCGTTAAAATTGTGTGCATCTGTGTAATGGTGAAACTATGGTACTCAAAATGATATAGTTACATAGTCAGGTTGAAAAAAAGAACATGTAACTAAGTACACGCACGTGTTCATTCGAATGCAGTTGGCAGGGTTTGTTTTATTTTTTATCACTTTAATTTTTTTTGTCACTTAACTTTATTGCTATCGCACAGGGACTAACAAGCCTCTATGTGATAGCGTTTGGAGGTGACAGATTCTCTTTATGGAGACATCAGGGGTCTATTAGACTCCTGATGTCCCTCCTGCCTCCAATACTAGCGATGGAGCACACGATTGTGCTCGATTGACTGGCTGCAGCAGCAGACATGATCTTAGTATTATTATGACCACCCCATCAGTACTTCGTTGGGCCACGAGATAACTCCACGAGATGACTTCGTTGGGCCGCCTCGTGACTCCACGAGATGTTGAAAGGTGATTAATCTGACACTGCACTGTTGCCCTTCTGTTGTCTTGTACCAGTCTTGCCACTCTCCGTTCTGCCCTAACATTGACTAGTCGCTGACGGCCACAATTTGCACGTTCAGACCCAGATTTTCAGCTGACAGTCCGGTCTTTAAACACTTTAACAATGAGCCCCTCTTGAACATTTAACAAATTCTGCTGTTTTGCTGATACTCGCTCCATGGCTTGCGCCAACAATCATCCCACGTTCAAAGGCTGTTAAATCGCGTTGTTTACCCATATCTTCAGAATAAAATCACTACTGTCGTGGTAAAGAACCTGCTTCTCTATTTATAATGGTCTGGCCCTCTAGCAACTTCAGCGCAAAATGTCATAATAAACTGGCCACTCAGTGTATATACATACATACACACACATATGTATGTATGTATGTATGTATGTATGTATGTATGTATGTATATGTACAGCAGTACTAATGTGGTGAAACCCAAAAGTTAAGGGCTGTTCACACCAGAACTGCGTGTGTCTGCGCAGCTGCAGTGTGATGTGTTTAGCCACAATTTTACCGCAATTGACATTTTGGGGTGGGGGGAGGGGTTTGCTTAGAATGGGATTTCAGGTGCGTTTGCATGCGCTTTGATGCATGCCGCTTCAATCCGATGCAGCTAAAATAACTGCATAACTTTAAACTGCATCGGAACGGGCTGCACTGGTGTGAACAGAGCACCAGACATCCCATAGGAAAGCATTGTGATGCATTTTGGATTCAGCTGCCAAACTGAACGGACTGCATTAGTCCTTTTAGCTGTATTAGTTTTTGTTTTTTTTCCTCAGACATGTTTCCCTTTATTTTCAAACAATACACTTCCAGTCCCTTCGTGGCTACTCTTACTTCTCCAATGTATCTAAGGAAGCAGCCAAAATAATCACACAGACTGAACTTCAAGTATGTCTGGTTCTGTTCATATCTCTTACTTAGTGGATAGATGACATTGGTAGAAAGATAAGGATGTTTGTACTTTCCCTTCAGCTCACTGCATTTCTGGCATGACCAGCAGGTATTTCCTGTACTTGCTGAAAATATTCTTAGTCTAAAAAACCTAATGCACATCTAAAGGACTGGTAAGATGCAATATATTCCCTTTTTGTGTTTAGATATGATTTAAGATATCCGTAGACAAAAGACATTTTGGGCTTTGATACTCAAAATGCATGTAAAGCCCAACAATGAACCTCTCTTGTTTGAACCTCAAGGAGTGCTATCAGCCAGATCCAGTTTACATCTATAAATTACAGAGCACCTTCCCTAAATAATAAGGAGATGAGGAGAGGTCGAGTGTCCTGTAGTTCTAACACACTTCCTGTTTTAGGGTGACATCACTGCTCCTCCACAGATACAGTGCAGCGAGCGAGCAATGTCACCCTAGGACAAGAAGTGTGTTACTGGCCAGGCCACCACGTGAAAACAAAGCCATACAAAAAGTAACAAATGCAGATACCTCATCTAAGGACCGGTAATCTGTAATATATACAATTTGTTTAGATACCCTTAAAAGCAATGAGAGACTTTTTAAAAAAAAAAAAAAACATAACACATTATGCTCATTGCAAGGTAATATAACATATAATGATTTTTGCTAAATGGGTTTAAATGCACATTAAACAGACACTACAGAACAAAATATTAAAAAAGAAGTAATGCATCATGTAAGGGTTAAAACGCATCTCAGCCATTTTTTATTAGTTTAGGGTTTGTTTATATTGTGGGAATGGTTTTGCTGCATCCCCTTGTGGAAACTTACCTTCACTTGTGGGCTCGGAGACACAACAGAAAATCTCTGCAAAGAGAAAAGAAAAGAAATACCCTATGAGTGGTCACTGGAAAAAGAACTGGCTACAGATATTGTTTAATCTCACTAATCTGAAACCGCAGGAAATTCTTATGTTGTTTTAAAATGCTTTCTGAGTCACATAGCTCAGCTGCTTCTCACAACGCCTGTTTTGAAATACAGTTTCTGCCTCTGTGCCATACAACATGCCAGGCCCAGCCATAGGCAACATATTATCAAAAGTCAAGCAATTCATACACAGCGCAGACCAACATAATACTTACACACCATACCTGAAACCTCAACTCCACTCTCAAAGCCAACATATACCAGAAGATGTGATGGCAGTCATGCTTATCCTCTGACTTCAGTATATTCTGATTCACTAACCTGGCACATGCATCTAGCTAAAGAAGTCAGAACTGCTTATGCACAATCTAATTCTAGGTCTGTCACTTAAGTATAAAAGGGCACCTGAACACAAAAACAAAAATGTTGTATTTGCTCCTTTTTGGTTTCATAAAGTGACATTAAAGTCAAACAGTTTTTTCCCTCCCCCCAATGTTAATTAAAGCACTTACCTTAAATGATGTCTCCTAATCCAATCTTCTTCTTTCCTGTGGCTTTCAGCCTTCTCTCCAGCGCTGCGGCGGGTCTCCGACCCAGCGCTGACTCCTCTGAGCTTAGTGGCACTTCCTGTCCCATGGTGTCTCCATGCGGGTGCACGCGTCCATAGACTTACCTTGCGTCTCTCCTCGTCTCCCGGTCGAAACGCGGATCGGCACCCCATACAAGCGATCCGCCGGCTCGTATGTTTACAGGCATCGCTGCCTGTTTTTAAATTTTGGGTTTTTTCCTGCTCGCGAGGGGCGTGGCTGAACGGACGTCTAAAGACGCCTGCTCAGATCTAGAGAGCTCACGGCCGGCCGGGAGGTGGTGAAGATTTAACTCCCGAGTTTAGTGTCACGTTAAGAAAGTTAAAAGCACTTAAAAAAGTAAGCAGCAATTTTGAAATGACACAATATGAATGAGAAACATGTAACAAACAGAAAATAGGAGTTATCCCAATTTGGCTGCAAAAGTGGAAAGACAATTTAAAGTTGCTCTACTGGTGAAGTAATAATCTTTTCTGTATTTTTTATCATTTAATCAAAATAACGTCTGTTGAAAATGAACAGAACAGATGTTTACCTTTAAACTGCTGCCCAACTATGTATCTTTCAGCTACCTATACAGTCATATGAAGGTTGTGTAGTGCTGCTCCTAGTTCCGGGTCAGATTTGTCCAGACATGACCGAGTATCTATGAATATATTCCTAACACGCACAATTATGTATATATTTTCCAAGCCATCCCTTAAAAAATAACTCCAGGCACTTGAAAGATTAACCCTTGCAGTGGGGCAGGTTTAACTTGGTCGTTTTGGTCTATGGGCTTGATTACAGCGGACGTTTACCCATATCTTTAAAATAACAACAAACACACCTTTAGAAATGATGATTAATGATGACAATCTACAAACACAAACTTCTAGATAATTGCCGGCTTTGTATTCTTTGCATACCTTATTTCTCTTTTCTTTCCCAGTCTTCTGACGGTGGC